GGCTCAGGCAATCCACTCCCCTCGGCCTCCCAAAGTGCTGGGATTACAGTCTGAGCCACCGAGCCCGGCCTATCCCTCCTCTTTATGAAGCAGGAGAAGGGGTAGAGTAGGGAAGAAATGGATCCTCCAGTTACGACTGACTCTTTCCCTGACCCTTACATCTTCTCCAAACACCCCAGCAACCCATCATTTAATTCTCCCAATAATCTCAGATGATAAAGACACCACAGTACCAGCAGACCCATTTTGCATGAGAGGAAACTGAGGGTCGAAGAAGTGTGCTGATTTGTCCAGAGTCACACAACTAGAAAGAACCTGAGCCAAATGGGCACGAAGGTCCCCAAATCCCCTGCTCCGCTTCTCTCCACCAGTCATGGTGGGCGGAGTCCAGGCTTTGGATATCTGCCCCAAATCTAGGATGAAGGCAGAGCAATTCTAGGACAGGGGTCATGAGATTTGGTTTTGCCAGTCTCCCCTCTCTCAGCTATGTCTTCCTCCTCTTTCCTTTCTCTTAGAAGGAAAGGGGACCTCGCTCAGCCTCACTCCTGGCCTTTCGGAAGAGCCTGGCGGGATCATAATAACTGATTAGGACCGAAGAACTGGGTCCCTGGGATTTCTTTTTCTGTCTCCTTCGGGGTCTGCCTTTAGACCTCCTCCCCATCCCAGCCTCAGCTTTTCACCGGCAGTCCCCGAGCCATGTTGGAGGGGGAGGGGCCTTTCAGTTTGGTTCGAGGGGGCTAGGGCCCCACGCCGGGGAGAAAGAAGTTCAAGCCAGGTCCTGGGATCACCAGGACCGGGAAGTTTCGGAGGCCCAAGCGGGAGTGGGATGGGGAGACCCGCTGGAAGAGCGTTTGGGGACGAAAGGGGGCGGTACCAGCCATGCCAATCCGCGCTTCACCCCCAGCAGCCCTTGGCATCCGCCGGTAGGCTGCCACCCACCCCAACCCAAGTCCCCAGGCGGGTTTCTCCCCCTCGGCCCCGCGGGTCACCCCAACCCCCTCTGGAGCCGGGGGGGCTCGCCTCCCTCCGGCCGCCCTCCCATTGTGTGTGCGGAGCCTGCGGAGGGGCTGCGAGGGGCGGGGCCGGGCGGGCGGAGGGAGGGAGGGAGGAGGGAGGGGCGGTGGGAGCGGAGGGGGCGGGGGGA